GACAGAACACTCCTTCTACACTGTCTTTATAACCCAGGATCTGATCGCAGATTATCTGCTTATTCCAAGTTATATGGCAGTGGAGACTCATATAATCCAGTTCAAAGCAGATAACCTGGGATCAGCTCCTGGATAATGTCTCATACTCCCAGACATTGGCATATCTTGGAAGTGTGTGAAGTCTGAACCAGAACCAAGGGGAGATTTCAGTATTTCTCAAGTACAGACCCCTCCTGTAGTTGTTTGATTTGGAAAGAAATCTGGTATGATTATTGCTGTTATTATTCTTATTTCCATACAGTGACATCATGTTGATTTTGTACAAAAGACATAGTTCACATAATAGAAACAGTCTTGTTTCCATGTGTTCTGTAACAGAGCTTTAGGACAGAAATCTATTCTAGGACTGAGATCAAAGTGACCTGCCTGCAGTAAGGCCCCTTCCACATTGCCATATAAAATCCAGATTATTTGATTTGGATTATATGGCAGTGTAGACTCATATAATTCAATTCAAAAGAGATAATGTAGATCATCTGCTTTGATAATCTGGCAGTGTAGAAGGGACCTAAATATTTCTTGTGTGGAAGGCATCAGATCCCATCTGATACTGGATGCTCAGCAGTGCCAGACATGGTCATTACTTTGATGGGAGACCACCAATAAACACCAGAAACTCCAGGCTGTTTTGCAGAGGAAGGAACACTTTGGAGTGTTTCTTGATGAAAACAATCCTATGAAAATAATGGGGTCATCATACCTTGACAGGTGACTTGTATGTACATACAATTATTATTTGTTTGGGGTGTACCAAGGATCGGTATTCTCCTAGCTTCAGCCCTACAGCTCATTTGCATGCACAGTGAGCTCTAAATGTAAAGAATTAGAGTGCTTTTGAGAATTATTGGAATGCTTTTGTCTCCAAACAGCATCCACACACAGAGGATTACAGACCCAGTTTAAAAATAGATCTTACCAGGGAGTCTTAGAAAATGTGTTTTTTTCCCTACCTTGAAGGGGTGCCTTTCCATTAAAGGACTCTACCAAAACCTTAACCAGATCAAAAGCAGTTCCTTGCCCTGTATTTCCAGCTTCGTTCCTGCAGTTTTCCCGCGTGGGGGACTGGGGAGTGAGTCAGCATTTCCACTCACTCTTCTGTAGGACATGGGATGTCTCTCTTGAGAACTCCCTGTGCCAGGAAATTGGCTATTTCTCCTTCCTTAGGCACAGGGCTATCTCTGGTTTCCCCCACTGTCTTTTCCACTTCAACCATGTCTCCCCACTCACTAGCACGAAAACTGCAATTCATGCGTCTGGAGCAAGCATTAGTTATTTATTATTATTTCCAGCATTTCTCTCCCATCCTTCTCAACCCCCGAAGGGGACTCAGGATGGCTTATATTTGGCAACAATTCAATGCCATGGGCAAACTTTGGCCCTCCAGGTGTTTTGGACTTCAACTCCCACAATTCCTAACAGCCTCAGGCCCTGGGATATAGGGCAGTGTATAGGAGGCGCAAAGAAGATGCACTTCATTCAGTGTGTTCCTTACAGCTACTTGAATCCAAGAAGATCTCTGGACATAATGGATCGATGGATGACTTCTGCATCAATAATTTATAGTCACATATTGTTGAAGTGTAAACTGTTATCATGACGGGACCCACTGCTATTGCCTCCGAGCAGGAGAGACCCAGAACACAGGCAGCAAGTTTGATTCACATTCACAAACTAGTTTTGGCACCAAAAACAAGCCAAAGGTCTTCACTGGCCATCCTAGAAGAACTCACCTCCAAATACTCTGCTTTACATCACGGATCTGTTGCTGGAAAACCTTATTTCTTACTATGAGGACTGAAGGTCCATCTATACTGTAGAATTAATATAGTTTGATATCACTTTAACTGCCCATGGCTTAATGCTAAGGAACCCTAGGAGTTGTACTCAAGTAAGGAAACTCTTTGGCAGAGGAAAGCTAAAACTAAATGCCCTTCCAGACAGGCCCTCTGTCCCAGGATCTGATCCCAGGTTTTCTGCTTTCGCCTGGATTATTTGAGTCCCCATTGCCAGATAATCTGGGATAAATAGAAAACCTGGGATCAGATGCTGTGATATAGGGCCTATCTGGAAGGGCACTTCTATACTGCCATATAAAATCCAGATTATCTGCTTTGAACTAGATCATCTGGCAGTGTAGACTCATATAATCCAGTTCAAAGCAGATAATGTGGATTATATGGCAATTAGAAGGGGCATAAGAATCCCATGATTCCATAGCATTAAGCCATGGCAGTTAAAGTGGTGTCAAACTGCATTTGTTCTACAGTGTAGATGGACCCTGAAGCTAAACTCAGGTAACACTAAAGCTGTTATTTCTTTCTGTGTATACATGCAGATATGATTGTATAGGATTGTCTATAGATCAGGATCCAGTATAAGGCTGAGGATGGTCAAATCACACACAGGAACAATCCACTTCCACATTCTTTTGTATAGCATTAATTAAAGTACACTGCTGAAACAGTCATAGGCACACAACCCTCCAGTATGGCTATCCCTCCATTATGACCACTTGACTTCCACAAATTGGTTAAGACTTTAGTTGTTACCCCTTCATCTTGGATTATTTTGTATGCTTGTTAATTTACTCTGAGTATTAGTCTAAAATGTAGAAGAACTGAGCTACCGAAAAGGATGAACCTCTTTGAGGAAGAGGGTTCAGCACCTTGGACAGATCCTTTCAAACCCAGGCTATACAGATTCACATCCTACTGTCATAGAAGCCATCAACCATCACTGACATGGTGGGTTCTTTCATTATTCACGAACAAGTATTTCAACCAACATCCTATACATGTGGAATTAAGGAACTCTCACCAGTGCTGTCAGTCATTAGCAGATGAAATGGGTGAATAGAACCACTTGAAAAACTGGGATTGAGGTTACAGAAGGGAGGGGGGACAGCATAGTTTTGTCATTCATACATTAACTCATCTCTAGATATTGCAGTAATAAAGTGGCTGAATATTTATGAATTTATGAGTTTGTTTTCTCTCCTGTCTGTCAATTTGAAAGAAGCCAGAGATAATATCTCTGTACAATAGCGTGAAGCATTGTTGTGACAAGAGAAAACCTATGCTATGAAAGCTCAAGGGAATGGGAGAAAATGAAAGGGCTGTTGACCCTCAATTCAGCAAGCAAAAGTTTTCAGTTGAGCCTGTATCCACAAACAGAACCATCCGTAGCTTGAAAATATTCCTATGTATGTATATAGTGTGTGTGACATACATATATGGTCTCTGTTAGCACCATAGCCAGAAAAAATGTTTGGGAGGGCAGGGGGGGTTGAAAAAAAAGTGAATTATGAAGAGTAGTTCCATAACACAAAATAATTTAAATAGTATGGTTAACCCAGAATATTAAGACTGATAATCTACATTATTTGTTTTGAGCCATATATTCCAATTCAAAGTAGATAATCTGGATTTTATATAGCAGTGTAAAAGGAGCCTTAATTAATTAATTAATATTGGAATAAAGTGAAAGCAAATTAAGACAAAGGCAAACTTGATTTTATGTAACACAGTTTTAGTGTATTATAAAACCTGATTTTACTTTCATTTTTTTCTTTGAAGTATTGGTGTTATTCCATTAATTTTTCTGTTGGTTGTTTGAGAGTCCTGTTTCCTTGAATTCCAGTCAACTGAGAGTCTACTGTATGTATGTGTGTAAATGTGTGTATGTATGCATGCATGCACGCACACACACACAAAGCTGGAATTTTCCATATGTTTTTATGGTTCTAACCTGAATTATTTTTAATATTAATGAGGTTTAATATTGCTTTAATATTTGTATATTTGAAGTTGTATTGGAATGCTTTTTATTGTGAGCCACAATAAGGAGAAAAAAAGCGGGATATAAATAAACATAATAATGGGTTTGCTATGTTTTTCTAGCTGTATGGTCATGTTACAGAAGCATTCTCTTCTAATGTTTCATGCACATCTATGGCAGGCATTCTCAGAAGTTGTGGGATCTGTGGAAACTAGGAAAGCGGGGTTTATATCTGTGGAATGTCCTGGATGGAGAATAAACTCTTGTCTGTTTGAGGCAAGTATGAATGTTGCAATTGGCTACCTTGATTGGCATTTAAAGGCCTTGCCGCTTCAAAGCCTGTCTGCTTCCTGCCTGGGGAATCCTTTGTTGAGAGGTGTTAGCTGGTCCTGATTTTTTCCTGTCTGGAATCCCCCTGTTTTCTGAATGTTATTTACTGTTTATCAACTGCTTTGGAAGACAGTGGTCAGGCATCTGGACAACATGGCCGATCCAGCAGAGTTGATGGTGGAGGACCATTGCTTCAATGCTGGTGGTCTTTGCTTCTTCCAGCATGCTGACATTTGTCTGTTTTTCTTCCCAAGAGATTTGCAGGATTTTTCGGAGGCAACGCTGGTGGAATAGTTCTAGGAGTTGCATGTGATGTCTATAGATAGTCCACATCTCGCAGACATATAGCAGGGTTGGGAGGACAATAGCTTTATAAACAAGCACCTTACGGATGTCCTGGTCCTCAAACATTATCTGCTTCATTTGGAAAAGTGCTGCACTTGCAGAGCTCAGGCGGTGTTTTATTTCAGTGTCAATGTTGACTTTTGTGGAGAGGTGGCTGCCAAGGTAATGGAAATGGTCAACATTTTCTAATGTTACACCATTAAGCTGTATTTCTGGCATTGGAGAGGGATTGGCTGGTGACTGCTGGAAGAGCACTTTGTTTTCTCGATGACATTGATGGGGTGTTCACAATCAATGTAACCTGGACTTGGACAGGGCTGGAACCCAGTGGAGGCCACACAGAATGCGCTTTTGAGCATGCCCGTCTGAGCTTGCCCCTTGGGGGGCTCAGTGGGGAGCTGTGGGAAGAAAGACACACACAAAGGGGCGAGGCTAAGGCGAGTTGGCTGTCTTGCAGGGAAGTTGCCTGGAGGAGCCCCAGCAGGGACAGAGGAGGCGTCGAAAGCGAGCAGGGAGGTGTTGGCAGGCGCCTCCTCCTCTTTTTCCTCCTCCTCCTCCTCCTCCTCCTGGCTCAACCTGTCGCCTTGTGCGAGGAGGAGCCTGCCTGAAGCGGCACCAGCAGCAGATGCTCCTTCCTCCTCTTGCTGACGGCGCCTGGGAGGCAGAGCCCTGCGGGAGGAACTGAGAAAGCAAGGCAGAAAGAAGAGAAAGAAAGAGAGAGAGAGAGAGAGAGAGAGAAGAAAGAAAGACGGGCGCGCCTCGCCTCTTCCCTCCCTTCGGAGAGAGAAAGAGGGGGACTCGCCCCTCCAGCCTCCCATTGTCTCCCTCCAACAGGTTTGGGGCTGACTTCGAGCCCTTCTCCGCCTTTTGAGGAGCCTGACAAGGATCCAGGAGGAGAAAGAGGAGGAGGAGGAGGCTGGAGCGGAGGATGCAGCAGGATCCCGAGGACTCCTTGGCCGGGCGGATCTCGAGAGAATAAGCAGGGCAAGGGAAGGAGCGGGGTCTTCCAGGGGTGCCTTTCCTTTCTCCAACGGACTGGCATGGACTGAGCCTCGCCTCCGGAGCCATGGAGGTCTCCTTGAGCGCCCTGTGTCTTCTCGGATGCCTTGGCTCAGGTGAGAGAAACACCTCCATGGGTTCTTCTTCTTTTTGCCTTTGAGGGAACAAGAGGGGCTCCATAGATCTCTTTCTTTTCTTTCCCTCAGCCTGAGAACTTTGCCAAGAGGGTCGTGCTAGAAAGTAGGTCAGGGAAAGAGGAGCTCTACCTGGGGAATGAATCAAGACCTTTTTTTTGGGGAGGGGTTTGGAGTGGAAGAGCAGGACAGGTGAGGGAAGTCAAAGGGATGGGAAGGGGTTGCTGGGATTTGGAAGGAGGGAAAGGGAAGTGCATTGAGCCCCTTCCACACAACTGAATAAAATCCCCCATTATCTGCTTTGAACTGGAATATATGGCAGTGTGGACTCAGATAACCCAGTTCAAAGCAAATATTGTGAGATTTTCTGCCTGATATCCTGGGCTATATGACTATGAGAAAGGGCCCTTTCTTTCTCTCTCCATCATTTGGATGCCTTTCTTTCTAATTCTCTTTTTCTGTTTGTGGGTCCAGTCTTGGGCTTTGGTGTGGACCCGTCCTTGCAGATTGATGTGCTGAGTGAGTTGCCTTTGGGGGATCCCTTGGCCGGAGCCCTCCAAGTCCAAGGGCTGCATAATGGAAGCAAAGCTTTCTTCTTCCAAGGTAAGTCCCCAAGGGGTGGTTCAATTGGCAGTGGTGGGGTCTCTCCTTTGGGCTTTGAAGCAGAGCTTGGATGGCTCTCTGTCAGGAGGGCTTTGATGATGTGTTCTTGCATAGTCCTCGGCGCCTCTTCCAATTCTAGGGGTCCTTCCAGACAGACTCTACATCCCAGGATACAATCCCAGATTTTCAACTTTAAACTGGATTATATGAGTCTGCACTGCCAGATAATCTGGAATAATCCGAAAACCTGGGATTTTTTTCCATGTCAGGCGCGGCTTGAGAAACTGCAAGGCTCTTCTGGTGTGAGAGAATTGACCATCTGCAAGGACGTTGCCCAGGGGATACCTGGATGTTTTGATGTTTTACCATCCTTGTGGGAGGCTTCTCTCATGTCCCCAAATGGGGAGCTGGAGCTGACAGAGGGAGCTCATCCCCAGATTCGAACCTCCAACCTGTCAGCCTTCAGTCCTGCCAGCACAAGGGTTTAACCTATTGCACCACTGGGGGCTCCTACATGGGATGAGATCCTAGGGTATAGGGCCTGCCTGGAAGGATTCTATTATCCATTCCTTTCCTCGTGGCTTTGTTTGTGGTGCAGTGCCTGGCTCTCCTTCACTAGGCTAGGTCAGCCCAGTCCACCTTGAATTATTCCTAAACTTGCTGGCAAAATGAACTTTTCCCATGCACCTTTGGTTCGTGATGCAAAAGGCAGCCGGTTCCTTGGTTTTCTGAAGCCTCCCCCATTGCTTTTCCCTCTCCCTTTCTATCCCCCTTTCCTTCCCCATTCACTTTCCTGGCTCTTTTGATGGAGTCTGAGGCCCTTAATTAATGGTCAGCAGGGAAACTGGTGGCAGATGGTTTCTTTTGCTGGTCTCTGGGAGCCCTGAATAATAAGCAGGACTGGGTTTGTTTGGGAGGACACGCCAGACTAAGCGCTGCTTCCAGCTATTGCTCAGAGAAGGCAATGGAGTGTCAATCTGGCAAAAGCTGTGTCCACAAATCATGCAGAAGTTACGGCAGGAAGATGTTTAAATAGCCCCCTCCTTAGCTATGGTCCCACTTTTGTAAATAGAAAAAAGGTATCATAGATCTATTTGAGGTTTATTATTTTTTCTTCCATTCTTTGTTTTCCAAAAGTAATCTAATAATAATAATAATAATAATAATAATTTTACTTCTTTATGACTTGGCATTTTATATGGTCTTAATCTCTTTAACTGAGTGATATGTGTTTTAATTGCTTATATGTTTAGATTGTTTACATTTAGATGAGATGTGTTTATTGTTTATCTGTGTGGCATTGAATTTTGACCAGATTTGTAAGCCGCCTTGAGTCCCCTCTGAGGAGAGAAAGGAGGGGTAGAAATGAAGTAAATAAATACATTTGTTTCTAGGCTGCCCTCTCTCCCCTAAGGGACTCAGGACAGTTTACACACACGAAAAGGCAAGCATTCAATGCTTCAGGTGAGACCAAATGTATCAAAATAATACACAGTAATAACAGTGAGCTTACGATGAAGAATCGAGCATTGTGATGAAAAATAAAACAAAACAATCCAATAACACATAGTTAACTAAAACATAAGTAAACATTACAACAAATACCCTAAAAGTAATTTAAAATACTGTTACATTAAAAATGCCTGGTGCTGGTGTTCATTTGCAATGTAACGTGGCAGCCATATAGTACAAGTGAGACTAGTTAGTCTTCCAAGTAGTTAAAGTAAAATCTCTTTTACTATAAAGATTATGTTCATTTTGCTGGCCGCATATCAAATGAATTAAATTTAATGAGATTTCAAACAGTAGCACAGTTCTAGAGAAGTTTATTGTATTGTTTATTTAAAAGGGCTCTGGACAGTATAGAATGATAAAAATGATAAAAACAAGAAGAGACAGGCTAAGAGATAGCTTTTATCCCAGAGCTGTGACTGTATTGAACTCCATGGCTTCATACTGATGTGACATTAGGGGCTGAGTCCCCTAGGGGAAATAGGGTGGGGAACAAATAAAGTATTATTATTATTATTATTATTATTATTATTATTATTATTACTATTATTATTATTATTATTATTATTATGCAGTAGTGATTAGAATGTGGAAGGATGGGTATTTTGCTTTGTAATTCTCTCTCTCTCTCTCTATATATATATAATATAGTGATTGGGGTGGTATTTAATTTTGTTGCATGCTATAAAATGATAAAATAATTAATAATAATAATAATAATAATAATAATAAGTGGGTTGCTGTGAGTTTTCCAGGCTGTATGGCCATGTTCCAGAAGCATTCTCTCTTCATGTTCTTCTGGAACATGGCCATACTTTTGGAGCATAGCCATACAGCCCAGAAAACTCACAGCAACCCAGTGATTCCGGTCATGAAAGCCTTCGACAACACAATAATAATAAGCTTTGTTTATACACTGTCCCCTCTCCCTGAAGGGACTTGGGGTAGCTCTACTCTATTCTACTAGCATTTGCTAAAAGATATACTACATTTTCATGCTGAAAAATTGTTGCTATGTATGCATATGTGTTGACTTCTTATGTTTATGGTGTGTCAAATGATTCAGATGGTAAATTGGAAGTCCTGTTTTGCTTTTCTATAGCCGATGGAATTGTCAAGAGTTTCAGTTATGATTGAAAAGTGTGTTTCTGTTGAAGGAAGCAAAGACGGTGGTCTTGTAAAGCAACTGTACTTTGAGGAAAAATAGAGATGGTGTTGGCTTTAACTTCTGGACCATTAGGATAGAGTATCAAAAGCTTTTAACATGGATATAGTGAAAGGGTTTGTGGAATGGTGTCATTCTGTGGACTAGCCAGAGTGTGTCACTATGACCATTATCATGGAAGACTCAAAGCTTTAAAAAGGCGAAATTGTCACATGCTATTTTTAAACACATAAAGTCTCATTACCACAAGATGTTCTCCCCCCACAAGATGTGGACATCTACAGGAATGGCCACTTGACAGAATGAAATATTTAAAATTCCAATTTTAAGTCTAGCCACATGAACAATTGTATATATTGAATTCCAGGTGAAGATCCTGGACCTTGAAAGTTTTGACATCTTTTCTTTCTTTTGTGTCCTATTTTACATACTCCCAAAACATATTTTTATTTCTTAGAAGAAAAGATATACCATATAGATTTATAAATACACAGAGGTCTATCCATTTTCCTTTTTACCTGGCTACACATCTTATAAAATGATCTACTTTCCTCACTTTTGGACAAAACGAAGGACTTTTGCCTCCATGCCTTCTTTTGCCTTCTGTTATGGCAGTCTTATGTTCTAATAGGTTTTTCGAACCAAAAGTGAGAATAAATAACATAACTATAGCATTTTCTTGACAGTAAAATCAATATTTGCAGTGTTGCTTGGTTTCAAAATGCTGGCAGGTAGAGATTTATTAGTGTACCATTGCAGATTCTTGGGACAGAGAAAGATATCTTTGCTTACTAAACATTAGACCATGAAAACCACATTGAAACAGGCTGTTAGACCTATCTAATGTTTTAGAGCTCTGTGTTGTGAGCCATTGTGTTGAGCATGGTGGAAAGAGCAATGCATCATGCAGAGAGATGTAATTACTTGTAACAGCATAAGTAGGTTTATACATTCTCTAAAAATGCCTGATATTGGGAGATTGCTTGTATTTCTGTTTCAAAGAAAGAGCAGTCTAGTATAAACTGCAATGTAGGGGGGAGATGAACTTCATCTAAGTAAGAAAGCCATCAAGTTTATGTTATTGTTCAAAGTGATATATTATAGAAATTAACTATAAGACAGGCGATAGATATTGAGAAAATAATAAAACAGCAGCCTTCTATAATTCAGTTTTCTTATAAATTCCCTCCCTATATCCTTGGAGTTATACCACTCAAGAATCCATCAGGCTTGAATGTCTTTATATATATTTATGGCAGGCATAAGAATCATTGACTCTTACATGTGCAGTTCCATGGTACAATTTAGCATATATAAGAACCATATGGGATATTCTATAGTTTTCCTTGTCTTATCAGCCCTGTTAGGAGAAAATATGTAGATGACACATGTCTTCTTTTTTACCAGATACCCCCACCTATATTGTTGTGGTATTTGCATATAATCTTTTACCACATGGGAAATTTTGTGTGGAGAAATAGTTACTAACTTGATATGTGTGTTGGAAGGTTCTTATGTGATACTAGTTATCACTATTTTTCAAATGAGGTGAAAAAAAATCATATTTGCATTTCTATAGATATTGACTATAGAAGTGAAGGCTGTATTTTGAGGAATTTCATAGGTAAGACACTTCACATTATGAATGATGCTTATCAAAGCACAAAATGTTAATATGATAATACTAGTGTGAGGCAGAGGGAAGATTGGTGCATCTGTTTTGCAGTATTGAGTTTCTCCTGGGAATTTATCCTATTGTTGAATCAGGCTATTGGAAGTATTAATAAAATATTAGATCCAAATGATATTAAAATAGTGATGTAGACATGAGATATGTAGTTTGAATTTTGGTCCAAACTATGGATTTATAAAGTACTGAGAGACTGAAATGGTTCAGTGAAAGTTTTCATTGATTTTATGAATTTTGCAGTAAGATTCTCTCTATTTTTTGTTCTAGAGCAGAACAACACACAGGAATAGAAACTTATAAACATGCGTATACACCAGAATGGATGTTCAGCAATTATTGTTGCACAATTATATATGATTCATCAGTCAATAATTTCTTAGAAGCCAATCCAAATAAAGTTAGTGCCTGATCTATGAATTGGGGAATAATCCATTTTACACAGATCTCTCAAACAGGGCTGGACAAGTGTGGTTCTAGATCAGTAGTTCCTTTCCTTTTTTGACCAGGGAACACTTGACTAGGGACCACTTTCCAACATTAGTACCAAAAGGGTTACGAATTAGTTTTTCTTCAACTTTTGATTCGGTTTGGTTAATTGAGGTGCTGATTCAGAAAATTGCATTGAATAGATCT